TGCATTGCGAGCTTTTGCTTGGGAGTTATTGTTGTCAACAGGTACTTTTTTTTTTCTTTTATTTATTTATTTTTTCTTCTTCTTCTTCTTCTTCTTAATCGGTTCCCAAAAAGTTGTCGGGTCTTGCTAGAACTTGTAAAATTTGGTGAATGGGATTCCAATTTTCCATTGTTATTGTTGATGAGAAGGAAGATGCAAGTGGATATGGAATTTCGTGTTTTTTTCAGAAGCTAATTACACAAACTCTGGTTTTGTTCTAATCTGTGTGTATGTGTGTGTGTGTGTGTGTGTGTGTGTGTGTGATATAGAAAAACTGAATGCTGGTGACTATGATTCTAGAATATCCTGTGAATGTGTTTCTCAGCTCAGATTTTAGTCTCATAATGTTTCGGGTTTCGAGCTTTTATTGTCTTCAATGGAGGTGGAATAAGTAGCCCTTCACCTGAGCTTAAGAAAGAAAAAAAAAGATACTGACATTACGAATGGCGATTAAATCGAAATACTATATTCGTCGCTACAGAATGAATGGCGTTTTAGTATTTAATTGAGGAATTTTGCATTGTTAGATTATCACCAAACATGAGAAATCAGTTCAAAGTGTGGAGAAAAATGTGCTTGTAAAATAATGCTGATGCTTATTGTTTCCAGGTTCTGGACTGTGCCTGATTTGGACGAGTCAAACATGATTGCAAAATCTGTTGAAAAGCGTGGGCCTAGCGATATTCTTCTTCCTCCTATTAAGTGCGACGAGAAAGTAAGTAGCAATATAACTCGTTTTCATTTTATCTCTATCCGGAATTTCTTCTTTTCCTGTATGCTATGCTATTAAAATTGTTCAACAAGCATGAATCATTTAGTAAAAAAAGTACTCTAGTTGGACTCTCAGGATACTGTGGATGTACTTTCTCAAGTTTCAAGAACTCATGATGTGATCGCGTAAGTCTCGTTCCTCCCCCAAAAATTGGTAATATTGTTAGGCAAAATTGCATATAAAGGCACCGTCTTTTGCAATTTAATCACTACATTTTACTATTCTCGATTAAGTCACTACGTTTTATATGTTTTGTAGATCGAATCATAAATTTAACTTCCGTTAGACTTTCCGTCTGTACCAAGTGTGCCAAGTCAGCCACGTAGATGTTCCGTCTATGCCAAGTCAGCTCCAACCTAACGGAAGTTAAATGTATGCTCCGGTCTGCAAAACATGTGAAAGATGGTGATTTAAATGCAAATATCGAAAATGTGGTGATTACATTGCAAAAGTCTTAAAGGTGGTGCCTTTATATGCAATTTTCGCTATATTGCTACAGAATATTTAGAAAGTTTGTTTGCATTTCCTTTTGTTTCTTCAGGACATTAGACAAAACCATATCTTCTATTGAAATGCAACTTGCAGCTGCAAGAGCAGCAAAAGCTGAGATTAATGAGAAAAAACATAACAATGGAAAGTCGAGTGATGGGTCGTCAAATAACCGTCCTAAGGTATTCTTTGTCATGGGAATCATTACTGCATTTAGCAGCCGAAAAAGGAGAGATTCTATTCGTCAAACTTGGATGCCTCAAGGTGTTGTACTTTCTTTATAAAATTTGTAAGTGCAGACTATTTCTAGTTGAAATAGTTAAAAACAATCAATCCTTTTTACCAGGTGAACTTTTGAAGAAGCTGGAGAAAGAGAAAGGAATAATCATTCGGTTTGTGATTGGGCACAGGTAATAAACCAGTCTTAGACTCGGAAGTTTTGGTCTTACGAAAACAACTTAATAATTTTGAGATCCCTCACATTTTTTCCCCTTTTTTTATATTCTGTTCAGTGCTACGCCTGGTGGAATTTTGGATAGAACATTAGATGCTGAAGAAGCACAGCACAAGGATTTTTTGCGATTGGTATAAATAAATCATCGTGCAACTTATGAAGACATCTATCTTTTTCTTGCTCGAATGGATGCTAACTATTGTATATGCTAGAAAAAGAAAACCTTTTCCATTTTTTTTATCCATCTCATGTAATGACATGCCCTGAAGTTACCAGCTATACAGACGTTTCCTTATAAAAGATACTTAAAATTTGAAGCAAAATGAGTGTATATTTAAGTTAGATCTTTCTATTGCATTTCTATTGCTTTTTTTCCCTGATGATATATTATTAATTCGCACATTGTACGAACAAAATCTCGTAATTTAACTATGACATTGTTTCCGAAAGTTATATTTTCTCTGTCGTGCAGAATCATGTCGAAGGATATCACGAATTGTCCTCAAAAACACAAATTTACTTCTCAACAGCTGTCGCTAAGTGGGATGCCGATTTCTATATCAAAGTAGATGACGATGTGCATGTCAATATTGGTTAGCATAAAATCATTTTTTTTTTTCCTCCTAATGCAGTCTCGTTCGAAGTGAAAAGGATATGAAAGGTTTAATTAATAAATAGTCTTTGGCTAATATATTTCTTGGCAGGTACACTAAGTTCACTGTTATCCCACCACCAATCAAAACCTCGTATTTACATTGGCTGCATGAAATCTGGCCCTGTCCTTGCACAGAAGTATGAGTTTTCAGTTTCACCTCTCAAGTTTATATTTGTCATAGAACTTTTGCTATTATCTGTAGCAACTTATTTTTAACAAATATTATTTACAGAGGAGTAAAGTACCATGAGCCCGAACACTGGAAATTTGGGGAGGAGGGAAATAAGTATTTTCGGCATGCGACGGGCCAAATTTATGCAATCTCCAAAGACTTGGCCACTTATATATCCGTAAATCGGTACTGTGCATTTTTCATCCAAAACACTAAAAAAAAAAATCAGCATTTGCTCCGGCTCGGACGAGTTTGCTTATGATTTTTTATCCTTCTCTTCAGGCACATACTTCATAGATACGCAAATGAAGATGTATCACTCGGGTCTTGGTTTATTGGTCTTGATGTCGAACATATTGATGATCGGAGCCTATGTTGTGGGACCCCACCTGGTAAAACATTCACAACATTTCACCTACAAAAGTTACCCCTGAGGTTTAGAATATTTAGTAAAAGAAATAGAGAAGTAGTGTTTTAAAAGTTACATTTTTTACTGCCACTAAGGTTTAGCTCAGTCTTAAGTTTAAGGGACACCTTCATACTTGAAGATGGTGCTTCATGAACTTGTCCATACTTACTCTTCATATCGAAATATATACCATAAACTCATTTTTACTCAAAATCTTAATTTTTTTTTTTTATTCTTTTTAAATACAAAACTCGTCCAGAATGTGAGTGGAAAGTACAGGCAGGGAATCCTTGTGCAGCATCATTTGATTGGAGCTGCAGCGGCATATGCAAGTCGGCCGAGAAAATGGAGCAAGTTCATCGGCTATGTGGTGAGGGTGATGAGGCAATTTGGTACTCCAGTTCTTGAAAATCGACACATTAGTCGCATTATATAGCAAATGACTAATATATCTGTGCATAGTTTTGAATGATTTAACATATGTTGGACCATGGTTTATACTTTATACACCACTAATTTAAAATCTCGATGAATTATAACTTAACTATCGATAAATCAATGGCTCGACGGTCTTGTCTCTTTTCTTTCTTCCTCCTTTTCGCATTCGACTTGTGATTAGTTGCAAATCCTTTTGCCTATTATGGAGGTCACTTAGTGTGGGAGAAGTAGAAGTAGAGAGTACTTTTACATTATTGAAAAGTTTGAATTGTAGACTGTAGCTTGTATTATTGACAAAAATACTTTAAAGGAGTTTTCTAAGGTCAAAATTACCGACCAAAAATATGACTATCATGTGTTAAATCACGTGTAAATAGAAAAATAGTTTATGAGGATTATGAGGATCTTTAGATTTGATAACATATATGAGTTCATTCAAATCTTCAATCAATTTATTGTTGTCATTGTCATATATTTTTTGTGGGCACTGTGACATAAATGAACTGTAGCTTAGGCAACTACTCAACTCCTCTTCTTTCCATAGAAACCAATGGAGGACTTGGCCATTTCACATTGGACGGTATATGAGATTTCAAGAATCACTATGAACTCTACAATAGCTCTACTGAGTGAGTGGCGTAGCCAGAAATATTTTTTTGCCCTGGGCTACTAGAATCGATTTGTTAGAGAATACAACTCAGTTCGGCTCGTAAGAAGTCAGTATTGACTAATTCTTATAATAAAACATAAAATAAAGAATCAGTTCAAACAAGCGGAATTTAATTGATTTCACTCGATTTTTTTAAATAATTCGAGCCAAACTTGCCCATTTATTCTACGAGCACAAGTTCGAATACGACGTACTTGACTCAATTTGGCTTCACTAATATAACTACTGTTATGTGAAAATTCGAAGAATGATAATTTTTTAAGTGTTTAATGTAAATTATAGAATAAATGAAAAACAAATTATCAAATATATGTCATGTTGTTGTAGTTAATCAATTTGGCTTCACTAGTATAACTAGTGTTATGTGAAAATTAGAAGAATGATAATTTTTTTAAGTGTTTAATGTAAATTACAAAATAAATGAAAAACAAATTATCAAATATATGTCATGTTGTTGTAGTTAATCAAAAAATAGTACTGTCGTGTAATTTACTCTTGCTTACTTAAATTTGACTTAAAAAATAATATAAATTATTTCAAATACCACTATGAGATTGACGTTTTATTATTGGGCAAGTCAGTGCAACATACTTGTTATATTATATTTCAATTAAATTGTGAAATTCCAAATGTCATTTTATTGAATAGACAGATTAACCTACCATACCTGTATATTTTACTTTAATTGTGGAATTCCAAATGATTGAATATGCTACTCAAATTAATGAAATTACATTATATATTTTACATATTCAAAGATCATTTATTTTAAAGTTAACAACTAAAGTAATATAAATAATATAATATTAATTGTGTTTTAAACCAAACATTAAAAAGGAAATCAAAGAAGAAAAAATGAAAAAGTTATAACCACAAAAAAATGCATAAAAAATCTGAGCCATGTAAAAAAATATGTACAATTTTTTCGTTTAATATAAAATAAATTTAAATTAATATAGACTAAATAATTTTATCATAAATTAAAATAGTATAATGTAGGCTAAAATATTTTCTTACTACTAAATCTCTCCCTATATATTAATTCACAACGTGTTGAGCATATGTGGTAGATTCTCGCGCTTCGGATGCTGACATAGCGAAAATCTATACTTTGCGATGTTGTTTTTATATTACTTTTACTCTGGAGTTAGGTTTGATATTAGACATAAAGAACTTTACATATATATTCAATAACTCAACACTCATGTTATACACGAATATTAGTATTAGTATTTAGATAAAACAAAAAATTTAGACCGAGGTAGAACCCGAGTGAACTACCATGTGGCTACACCCTAGCTCTACCAAACCCTAGAGATTTACCTCATCTTGAATCATAAAAGTTCACCTAGAGAAGAAAGTGGTACACAATTGTATGAAAAANNNAAAAAAAAAAAAAAAAAAAAAAAGAGTATAAATTGGTCAAAACTCAACGTGAAAAACGAGCACACAGTCCATCACAGACCAACCTTTTTCTTTAAAAATAAAATAAAATAAAATAAAAACTCCAGTAGTAATATTGTACTTGACTGATTGTGATTAAAACTCATCATCTAATCTAATCTAACCACTATATAAATGTGCCCCCAATTTTTTAGTCACAAGCCAACAAAACCCCCCATTTTTATTTTCTTTTTTCTTGACCCAATTTCAAGCCAATTCAAGAATAATGCTTATTAATTCTTGCCAATTCAAGTGGGCATATATATAGTTATATTCTTCAATAAAGCTTAGTTCTTGATTCTTGATTCTTGATTTTTCTTGATTTTCTTTTTGGCATTATCACAAGCTCACAACTCTCAATAAAAACAGAATACAAATTCATAGCATTGGCTGTGAATGAATATTTGTGTGAAGCAAAGCATTTGTGGGCCTACGGCAATCCGACCAATGCGTACACCCACCGCTTATCTCTAAACTCCCTTATCCTCTTCGTCTCCCCCTCATCTCCATTGTTTAGATCTTCTCTACGTGGCACCCCTATTTTTTTTTTATTTTTTTTTATTTTTATATAATCTGATATATTATATTTTGGGCTGTCTTTCTTCTTCTTCTTCTTCTTGTTCTTCGTCGTCGTGTATATTTTCCTTTTGTCTGTGTATATATATTTGTATTATCTAATCCATTCCCATTGTTTTTCTTCTTCTCTAGTTGAAGGGTTTATCTTTTCCTTTATTAATTGAGCCCTCGGGTCATCGACGTGCGTAAAGGTTGAATCTTTAATCCGATTGAGTCGAGGGTTTTCTTTTGATTTTTCATTTGGTTATTAATTTTCCTTATCTGGTTCGATTTTCTTGTTTTCGGTGTAACTGTTCTGTAATTATGGCTTCGTTTGCGGCTTTTCTTGAGATTTTACAAAGGCCCACCATTGGAGAAGTGATTTTTGAGCTGCTCGAGTTCATGGCGCCCATTTGGGTGGCGATTGTTGTGGGCGTCTTGGTGGGTTGGGCGTGGAAGCCCAAATGGGCTGATAAATTGAATGCAGATTTTCTTGATCATACTTCCGATAAAGTAAGATCAAAGACATCAGCTATTATTAACCCATTTCCACAGTTTGCTGCTTCAATCCCGGGCTTGAGCTTGTCCAAACTGCAGCTGCCGGCCCCCGGATTTTCTTCGATTTCAGATGATGGGCTTGAGAAGGATAGTTCACCCTCGCCTTCAGTTTCCGATTGCAGGTTTGTTTTCTTCGTTTATCTTTGTTATTATCAGTCATGAAGTGTTGAATTCCTAGTATGAGAGGCTAGTCTAGTGTAGTTTGGTCCCTAGTGGGTTTTCTTGCAACTGTTTATATGATGAATTAGTTTGAACTTATCTTCACACAATCACACCTCAGCTCGTCCAAGGCGAAAGCCGAAGAATCGAGCGTTGTGAATGAAGACGATGTGAAGCATTTGCACAGATTAGTTGAAGAAAAAGATGGAGGCCCTTCTTGGATAAAAATGATGGAAAGGTCCACACCCAATATGAGCTATCAGGCTTGGAGAAGAGATCCTAAGGTAGATTTTGCAATGAGAGTTAATTAGTTAGTTACATACCTCTTTGATTCAAAATTTATTTCGTCTGATGATGCTAAAGTAAACTGAATTTGAGAAAAAAGTAAAAACACATTCTTTTTGGTTTGCTATAGACTGGACCACCTCAGTATAGGAGTCGAACTGTGTATGAAGATACCACTCCAGAAATGGTGAGGGATTTCTTTTGGGATGACGAATTTAGAGTAGAATGGGATGATATGCTGATACATGCCAAGACCTTGAACGAGTGCCCCTCGACTGGGACAATGATGGTTCAGTGGGTGCGTAAGGTCGGTAGACTTCTTTCTTTTTTTTGGTATGAATTTTTGTTATAATTTCGTTTTTAGGTGTGGCTCATGTTGAACGGACGTCTTTTTGTTTCTATGCAGTTTCCATTTTTTTGTAGTGACAGAGAGTACATAATAGGCCGGCGGATTTGGGAGTCCGGACGAACGTATTATTGCGTAACAAAGGTATGAGAATGTTGTCTACATTTGATCTTTTTAGTTATTTGGCTGGTAATTGGGTTATTTACTGTTTCAACTATGTTGTGAGAGGCTGTGATAATATGATTATTGGGTTGTTATAACTCCGGTACTCCATCTGAAAAATTTAGAGAAAATTTGAAAACTTCTGCAGTTTCTTTTTCAGAATCATAATTAGTAATATTTCTGAAAATATTTCAGTCTAGTATGTTACATTGTTCGTCGAGTCAAGCTATTCAGTGTACACGAGCTTTTTCTGTATACGATAATTAGTCAAATTCCTTGAAGTCTTGTTCAATGTTCTGTACCATTGAATTGTTTCTCAAAAGACAATTTCACTCTTAATTTTTTACTTTTCGTTCGGGGAGTCTAGTCAGCTTGACAATTAACCAAGAATTTGCTTGTTTTATAGACTTTTGTATTGTCTAGTTTGATTGTCAATCTGAGACCTGGGTTGTGATAAATTCAATTCATCTGAAAACAGAAGAAAATGCTAATAAACTTCAATTTTATTACCTCCTTTTGATTATTTATATCCATCAATGGTCCTGTCTGATAGACATTTATCGACTCTTGTAATAGGGTGTGCCGTGTTCCTCTGTGTCTCGTTGTAACAAACCAAGACGTGTCGATTTGTACTATTCAAGCTGGTTCATCCGCGCAGGTAATTTTAACTTCTTTCAAATTTCTGCACATTCTGTATAGGGAATTAAAATCACTTTCATCCAAATAACTCATGTTCAAATGAAAAAGGATTTAGTGAAAGTCACTTAATTCTAAATATTATTTCTTCAATCTTTTTTGCGAAAATCTAGCCGAGTCAAAGAGAGACGGCAGGCTAACCGCATGCGAAGTTGTTCTCTTCCATCACGAGGACATGGGCATCCCTTGGGAGATTGCGAAACTCGGTATCCGCCATGGCATGTGGGGTGCTGTCAAGATGATTGACCCGGGCCTGCGGGCCTACCACAAACATCGGGCTTTGGGAGGCCCACTCTCCCCGAGTGCAGCCATGGCCCAAATCAACTCCAAATTTAGTGCCTCCGATGATCCTCTGGAGTTGGAGGAGAGCCCAGGCAAGGATCCGGGAGTCGGGCCTCAGCTTGATTCGGACAATAAGCCACCGGGCAGAGGCGGCTTTCCTAAGATGCTCGTTGTGGGTGGGGCCCTTGCCCTTGCTTGCACTCTGGATCGAGGGCTCTTGACTAAGACCCTCATATTTGGTGCGGCAAGAAGGTTTGCGGGTAGGAGCTTGTGAACCATGGTTATATGCTTATTGCTAAATTTCGAGAAAAGAAGATGATGTATAGTTGAGATCAATAAGAAAATCCCGAAAATGGCCTTCGTTCGATTTCTTCCTCGATTAATGTTTTTGGTCTAATGATCGAATTTGATTCATTTTTGTTTCAACATTGTTATTGATGGATTATATATATGGCTTGTGCAGAGCCAAAATATACACTGAATTAATCAAAGCAAATAGAAACCATGCATCTTTAGAAGAATAATGGTAATAAAAACATTATGACAGTGTTTTTACAAACATAGTAGGAAAGCTGCTGGTACACTATTACATCATAACTAGCAAACAAACCAGATCTTACACAAGAAAACAAAGTTCTTCATGTGAATTAATAATAAGATAAGATGTTTTCATAAAAACAAGATCCATCCAACTCGACGGCAGAGCGAGGAGTTGAGTTGTTAATCGACCGTGCTTTCGGCTTCACAACATAACCATCAACGCCACCGTTGATCTTGTTGTTCTTTGATAATTTGGGAGCTGACGAAGACGTACACGAAGACGACGTCCGAGCTGCAGTGATTGATCTCCCCAACAGCTCGGCACAGGCAGCGTCGAACAAGCTGAAGATGGAGTAATTCATGGTATTGTAACTTAGGATACCACCGCCGCTACGAAAACCAAAATATGTTCGTGTGAGTAGAATTTAGAAAAAAATGACTGTCATATATAGTGTACTATAATAGAATTGATTTTTTCTTTTTTCCTAACTAGGGTAACCGCCCAACAACTAGGGTAATGGGAAGTCGAAACTTGTAACGTTAGATCATCGTATAATCATCGAGAATAGTTGATCTAACAGTTACTTATATAAATATAAATGATGAACGATATCAAATCACGATTTTTTTTGTAAGGTAACCGCCTAAAACTAGTGGTGTCTTTCTATATTTCTGAGCCGATACATGTGATATCTAATTATTTTATGTATGATATCTATTACAAATTTTCTTTTATAAGGTAACCGCCTAAAACTACTGGTTGTGGTTTAACCACATCTCTTTCTATATTTCTGAGCCGATACATGTGACATCTAATTATTTTAGGTGTTGATATCTATCTATTGGTGCTGCTTGAGGCCTCGTTTTCGGTTTCTAATTATTTTATGTATGTATCATATCTATTGGTGCTTTTTAAGGGTGTGTTTGGTTCTAAATTGGGCTTGATAATATCTCTTTCCGGCTTGAGTGAGTATATATGTGATTGTACATGCTACATTTATCTTGTTTGGTTAACACTAGTGCTGTTAAATTAAACGAGTCTGGCTCGGTTCGGTTCGAGCTCGGCTCGTTAAGGCTCGGTTCGGCTCGAGTTCGAAACCTTGACGAGCCGATCTCGAGCTTTAACGAGCCGAACTATAAAATGTATAAACCAACACTGACGGCATTGGTTCACACATTAATAAATGAAAAACATGCATTATTGACCTCGATTTCTCACGAAGACAGTACTCGGAAATGAGCCTTTTACTTAAACTTTTACTACAAGAAAATGGTGAAATTGCAACGGAAATCTATTCCAAAAGTAATATTCAAACGACAATTTCAACGGATATTTCAATACTATTATTTCCGTTGAAATTTTTCAATGGACTCCAACGGAAATTCATACAAAAATATTCCGTTGGAATGGATTTTCCATTGGAATATTGGTTGGATTTTGACGATTCTAACGGTGGATTTTTCAACGGGGGTGGAAATAAAAATTCCAGCGGAATTTACATATTCCAACGGTAAAAAGCCGTTGGAAATATAGCCGTTGGAATAATCAAATTCCATCTAAAATTCCAATGAAAAACACATTCCAATAGAATATTTCCGCTGAAATTTCCGTTGGCACCATTCCAACGGAAGCTATACCATTGGAATATCCGTCGGAATTTCCATTGAAATATATTACCATAGGATTTTTCGGTGGAATATAACAATTTTTTTGTAGTGTTTATTACATAAAACCAAATTGAGCTAAAATCAATTTGTTTAGTCAAGTTGTATTTAATTTGCATCCACCTGGTCATTTTTCGTTTATCATTTGGTGGTCTCAGCAGACAGATCGTCAATGTTATCTGATGAAGATCGTGTATCAGGATTCAATTTTGTGTAAGAATCAGACGCTAACGGCCATAGTTCGAACACGATAAAATGTATACCCGCATTGACGGCATTGGTTCACACATTAATAAGTGAAAAACATGCACTATTGGCCTCGGTACTCGGAAACGAGTATTTTTTTTATACTTTATTACATAAAACCAAATTGAGCTAAAATCAATTTGTTTAGTTAAGTTGTATTTAATTTGCATCCACCTAGTCATTTTTCGTTTATCATTTGGTCACCTCAGTTATTTTCTCCTGCGAGACATCCGAATTCTGAATAGGGCCATAGAAGAATGTCATTATCCATACTCAAATCAAACAGAGGGCCACGAGTTTCTCTTCTGATTGCGCAGTTTTTGTGCTTATTTCATTGTATAAGTAGACGACCGGTATAAATGCATATTCGTGAATGATTTGAGATCGAGAAGAGATAATTGTTGCTAGAATTAGAAAATTAATAACGTAAGAAAATAAATAGACCGAGAGGTTGGACCTTACGAGAGAACAAAAATCCTTGAAACTTATAGAGTTAGTTGTTAATCTTGAGACCCAGATGAGATAAATAACAATTAATTTACGATTCAACTTTTCGAGAGAAAGATTAAATTAATTTAGCGCTAATCTCTACTATTAGTAAAACTAAATAAGGTTTGCATTAGTTTAAAACATTTCATAAATTAATTTTCAGGAACACATAACCTAGAGTCTATCTTTTATATTTTGATTTACTAGTAAAGTGCACGTGCGATGCACGTGGTGTCGAATAATTTTCGCGGAGTAAGTTTGTAAAATAAATTAATTTATTTATTAAACATATCATTGCATAAATGAAATAAAATATAGAAAAAATGAACTCATATGTGATTTTTTTTTTTTATTTAGAATTAACATTTAACATAATGATGTCCTCATATAAAAATAGTGAAATAACATTTTACAAACCCCAACAAAAATATATATAAAACAAATTCCTAATAGAAAAAACACAAAGATTTTCTTTCATTTTAGTTTTAACGTTTTCATAAGAACATTCATAGTCGTTGGAGTCCAATACATCAATACTATTGCAAAATTCCTCTTAATTACTTTGGCAAAACGCCAATTTAATTCAAACACTTAAGAAAACATTATGACCCAACATATAGTCAAACTTCATGATTGTATGATCTTTATAACAAGGTACTTCTTATTTATACTCTATTATTAGTTCATGTACTTCTACTAACAAAGGATAAATATCTCTATGAAATAACTAACGGTGTCACTAAAATTACTGATATTTTTTTATCATTGTATAAACTACTACATTCCTCTATCTTTAGATATATTGGTGTCTGCCCCATTGATGCATCGCCCCACGATGTGAGAATGAATTTTATCTCCAAATAAAAGTTGACTTTCCAAAATCTTGGTTACATGTACTTCTCTCGATGTGCTAAATTATTTTTTGAAACCATCATACATTACCTGAAAGTACCTCTAAAGTAATTGCACATATGTTCAAACACAATACACCAATGAGATTATAAATATTTCTATAAAAAGTAACAACTTAATTCTAACATTCAAAACTGATTTGATACTCCTACATTTCATTTTCAGTGTTATTTATCTAGAATATAGACGAACAATATAATCTATTTTTTGCAATGATAAAACAAAACAATGAGAAAATATTGAGAAACATATCATTTGTTAAAATATTTGACAACAGAAGAATTAGAATTCCATTATATGACGATACTTTTAATCATTTGTAAAGTTTATTATTATGGAGTCATGATTAAAATACATCATGTATACAAATTTTTAGATTTTTTAATTATTTCAAATTGAAAATAAATAATATATGATCATTATTTATGAGAACCAATTTCTTACAGAGTCCATATATTTAAACGCTAGCAACAAAAAAGTAGTAATTTTAAAAGACTTTTTGTTTGTAAATTTGGTATTCATACTTTTCTAAGAAAATTAGCATGTTTTCTTTTTCTCATTGCATTACTATTATATTATTTGTTTCTTATTCTATAGACAAATAATATTTTATTTGCTAAGTAACTAAAGCACATTTATACGTATTATGTTATTTTTTGTATGTGTTTTATATAATGATGGTATCAAATTATCTTATTTATTAGGCTACAATTAATATAATCACATAAGATTAAATGGAATTTAATATATTTGATAAAATTGTACTTTTTATACGAATTATTAGATTAAAAAGTTTTAGAATTTTTTCCAATGTTTGATAAAATATTAATTAACTAAGTCATTTCCATAATCACTGAATACATGGTACCATCATTATAGGGTTCATTTTGCAGCAGTGATTGACTTCACATAGCTAATGTTATTTCATTTCCTTTCTCTGGCCTAGCCTTTTCTTTTATCTGTGACTTCACATTGCTTCGCTTCGTTTGTACCCTAAGGTGCATTTGCCATAGTTTCAGCATTACTACAAACTCGTGTCAAACATATATCGGATTTAGGCGCTCTAGCCGAAACGTGGGAACAGTTAGAAGTTTACACCTATTTTTTTACTTTTTTTTTTTAATATGAATTGTTCAAATTTATGTATGAAAAAATACCACAAGTTTATCTTATGTTATTTTATACTTAATAAAATTGATTTAACTTGAATATAAAATTTATTATATTATATACTTTAAGACTAATTTATTATTTTAAAT